TATGTATTTCCTTTCAGAAACTAAATTTGGTTTTGGAGAGGACAAGAGCATGATGCACCTGAAAACAAAGGATAAAATATAATGTGCTAATATGAAAATAGAGTGGAAAGAAATCCATGAAGAAGAAATTAGATGTTAAGTGAGAGTGTAACACTAAGAACTCCTCGCCTCACAGTTTGAGAAATACTTGTCTAAATTGTATCTTCTGACTGATTGAACTGGAATTATATTACTTGCAGGCTCAGTAGCCTATCACTCAGAAATAGCAAGAAATAAAATTGGTTGTGTATGAATTATTCACAAAGGTGTGTCAATTATTATGACAGAACCTGACCCAATGATCATTTCCTTTTCACCAAACAAAAGAAATTGTGCCCAGTTTTGTTCTCATGGCAGTCAGCAAGGTAATTTGATTATCTTAGTTAATCCATTTAAAAAACCATGTCACTTATTGCCTAATATGTATTTTTTTCAAATACAAAGTAAACAGAAAAATAGCTAACTCGGCTATGTTGAATGTTATATACATCTAACATCCATCTTAATTTCCTAGTCCCTGAATAAGTGGAGTGGCACTTTGTCAAAATACCAGTGAAGCCCTTTCAAATCTTTTTGTACATACAGCAATGTAAAAATACCAAAAGTTGTTATTGGGAGAAACTCACAAAGTTGACTCTCTTTTAAAGTTTTCAGTAACAATGCTTTGCACATAGGTCAGATCTTTCATCTGGGGAATTGAGGAGTAATGAATAATAATTTGCCTGTTTCACAAAAAGGAAAGGGTGTATAAAATTATTCCTAATTTCTTCTGTTGACCCACTTAACTAAATCTATTGTTTGAGAAATGAGCCAAGAGAATACTAAGAACAAAGATTGAATAGTAAATTGAATTTGAGCTATTATTCTGTGGTAAATGTTAGGAAATCTCCTTTAAGGAATGTCAACAGATAGATAATGGAGGCCAGTGTGTCACAGCGGCTTTTCTGTGCCAGTCACTTAATGCTTTAAAAATATGTATATTCCGGGGGATTTAGTTCAGTGGTTCCAGTGCCTGCCTGGCAAGTACAAGGTCCCAAGTTCAATCCCTGGTACCAAAAATAATTATTAATAAATTAGAAATAAAAATATGTATATTCCATACTGAAAGTTTTACTGATTAATATAATCTTGAAGAAAAAAGCCTATTTTGAGGCAAAAATGATTTATTATATATCATATAAGGATAAATACGTGATTATGAAACATTGACATGAATGTTATTCTGATATTTTCAAATTGTTCTTAGTATTGCTCCTATGTCTACCTTCTCTAAAAGGTGGTTGTATTTTTTTAATATGATGTGAATGAACATTCTGATTCATTACTTAAATATCTCAATGGCTTCCTCTTACCTATAAGGCAAAGCCAAAACTGTTTGAGTCTGGATTCTTCAGTTTATGACCTGCCTGTGTGAAATGAACTCTTGCTCTACCCTCCACAGAGTCCAAGCTGGTTCTCAGTGTCAGTTCTCTCCTTCTCTGGTAGTAATAGAACCTTGAATTTGAGCTACCACATGGTCTCCCAGCAGATTTCTAGTCGTAGCAACTGCACCTTACCCTAATTCAGATGTTATAGTACGTATACAGAGAAATTAGGGTACATGGAGAAAAAAGCCTGGGGTTTTAAACCCAAAGCTTACCTACAGCGTCCTTTTCACATTGCCCCAGGATCAGATGATGGCTGTGTTGTTTTCCCAGCAAAACCCAAAAGGGCATTATAATTCTTCTCACTATAGCAATATGTGGAAAGTAGTTTCGAATATATTGACTCATTGGTGTGAGGCAGCTGCAAGTTAGTACACTTAGAGTACATACATAATAGGGGAAGCAACAAAAGCAGCAGAATAGCTAGAGCTTTGGCCTGTTACCAACAGAGACCAAAACTGGATCCATTATACTCACGAAGACTGCAAATCATGAAAACAGCATTTAAAATATCCACTGATGTGGACCAGAATTATTTAAAGGGAAAAGAAAATCACTGAGCATTGTAGGATCCTGAAGATATCTACAGCTACTCCTGGGTAAGAGTTCAGTGTGAGATTAATCTTCAGACTTATCTTTATATTTTTCAACTATCAGTACATATGTTTATATATAAGGTAAGAATTTAGAAAATACTTTATAGTTCTTAATCTTATATCTAAGAAGCTCAGAGCTGAAAAACACCAATAGCTGTCAATAATAAAATATATCTGGACTTCTATTTTCAAAATTACAAGGGACTAAAGTTCTTCAGCTAAGTGTGGTGGCACACACCTCTAATCCCAGCTACTTCAGAAACTGAAATAGAAGGATCACAAATTCAAGGCAAGCCTGGGCGATTTAGTGAAACCCTGTCTTAAAATAAATGTAAAAAGAACTGGGGAAAGCACTGGCCTCATATGTGTGAGGCCCTGGATTCTATCCTCCATACAGGAAAAAGAATCTTGAAGACTACCAATATAAAATATGGAAATATTATGTTAAGTATTTTGTTAACCTCTTTAAAAAGCATATAGGAATTTGCAAGAAAATAAGAAAAGCTTTCTGAAACAGGAGTATGAAGCTAGGCAAGAGAAGTAAGTGAGTCTTGAGGCCGGGCAGCCTTGTAAGGGGGGCGGGGGTGGGGTTGGAGATTAGTGTCATGCACGGGGAGCAGGGGGCACAACTTTGCATGAACGTGTGCTTTGGAGTCAAGATGGAGGCCTGTCATGTAGAGCAGAGACCCCAAAAGGCCTCCACACTGCAGGGAAAGTCAGTAATGAAAAACAAACAAAAGCTGCCTATGCAGATTTGTCAACTCTGACTTTGGAGAAGAGGAAACATATATTTTTGTGATTTGATAGCTAAAAGGCAGAACTTATGGGATCAGGACTTGATAATACACGGTGTGTCCTTTTAATCTGTCAGTTTAGGTGTATATACTCAAAACAGCCCTCAGAAGGAAAGTAAAATAAAGACATTTTTAGAGAAACAAAACACTGAAAGTTTTCTACCAACAGAATCTCTAAAGATGAATTTTAAAAAGACAAATATAAAAGATCAATTTTATACCAAATAGTTTCTCTAGTGTGAGAAACTGAAAGTGTAAATAAGGTCTACAAGGTATAATAGATAATGTGAAATAGGAAGAAAAGGGGCAAAGAGGAAAGGGAAGTGGGAGGGGTAGGGGAAAGGAAAGAAGGGAATGGAATTAATATGAGAAAACGAAAACATTGAAACAAAAGTCTTTGTAAACAGGGAGGGATGGAGGGGTTGAAGGGAGGGCAGGGGAAGAGGGAAAAATAAGAACCAAGAGAGATTATGCAAAGGTGCAAATTTCCAATGATGAATGTCATTATATTGTATACCTAAATTGTACCAATAAAATAAAATTTTAAAAAATAAGAAATAAAAGATCAATTTTAGAAATAGACATGAATTTTAGAAAGCTATTCTCATTTTCTGTTTTATCTTGAGTTCATTTTGATAAATTTTGTTATCCTATGAAAAATTCATTTCGTACAACCTTTCTAAGTCTTGGACATCACATAATTGTTTTTCATTCTGTAGTATGTTTAATTTTTGTTTCTTCAAAGTGTTTCTTTGAAACTTATCTCGTTTTCTTGATCAAACCTTCCAGACAGTTGTTCATTTTCTAATCTTTTCAAAACACAATTTCTAACATTGATCACTCTCTCATGTATTTGTTTTTCATTTCATTATTTTTTGCCTCTATTTTTTCTACTTTTTGAGGTTCTTCTATTATTTTCTACCATTTTAAGGTAGATCAGCTCATTAATTTTCACATTTTCTTCTTTGCTAATAAATGTTTAAATATAAAACATTCCATATACATACTACTCACCTTCATCTCCTAAGTTTTGAGCTATATTTTTATTGTTCATTTCTGATTTTTATTTTTTGTAGCAGGAATTGAACACAGGAAATTGTGCTTGCAAGGCAGGCGCAGTGCCATTGAACTAACTTCCCTTCCCAATTCTGAATATTTTTTAATTTTTAAGCCATCATTTGCTTTTAAAAATTATTTTTAAATTTCCAAAATTTATTTTTTCTGCACATGTGTGCACAAACATAATTTTTCAGTTTCTTTTTATTTTAATTTAATATAATTTGATTTTAGGTAGACATGGAATCCAATAGGAAATTAATTATTTGGAATTTACTCCAATTTACCAGATGTTCTAAAGCATTTTCATGTTTTCATAAATGTTTCAGCTTTTTGGTAAATGTTCCTAGTAACTTGAAAAAAAGCACGCCCAGGATTTTCTATATATTTATGAAGTCGGCATCTGTAAAACCTCCTGCGTAAGAGTCATCCAAAGCAGTTTTTAAATTATAGATTTCTTGTTCTCTTTCCTGAACATTTCTTTCACTAGATCTAATTCTGAACCAACAGGGAGGTTTAGGAAATCCTGCAATAAACCAAACAGTTTTATTGTTCCAGTCAAGACTTCCTTATTTGTTCTGATTTATGTCTATTTGAGCTATTTGTTATTGAGAGTTGTGTTTAAATCTTTCAGTACAGTGGTGGATTTTTTCAACTTTTTTCATTTTTTCTCTTAATTTTGTCATAGATATGCATGTTTGCACCTATACACACACATAAAAATACACATATGCCAATTATATTAAATTCTCTTCAGCCTCTCTCCATTTTATAAAACACAGAAGAGGAAAGTCATGGTAATTGTTTTTAAGTCTTAGAACAAATAAGTGAAATATTACCCATAAACAAAGAGCCTGAGTCACAATAATGGCCCAATAAGTCATAGCTATTATTTTGTGTAAGGTCACTTTTGAAACGAGAATTACTGACCTTTAAGCGCATGTAGCCCATCTATTTAACTTCTGTCTTTGGATCAAACCACCCATTAAAACCGAGTATGGACTATGTTACCTTTCCTCCCCATGAACATGTGAAGGAAACCGGTTTTCCCTGAGTTGAAATGAGAGATTTTTGCTGTTGGTTTTCCACAGGTCACACGACCAGGCATGGATCGGTTGTGCTGGTGTTGCTGAGGATGTTGCTTACTGCCTCCATCAGTGTTGCTGACACAAAGACTTTGAGAAAATGCTAGAGGTAACTGTTAAGTAGCAGCTGGGACCCTCCCAAGGGCCTGTGCCTTCTTTTTGACATTCATATGTAATGATAACACTTCAATTGTCTGCTTTCATTGTTCCTTGTCAGTCACAAAGTTCAGAACTAGTTCATGGCTCAGCTTTAGCAGCTACATAGAAATTCATAACCTTTTGAAGCATAATACACTTTTCCCAACACTTTCTCCTAGCCCATTTACATCTTCTATGCTAATTTAGATTTTTCCTATCCTTTTTATTTATTTATTTTTGCTTTGGAATTTTATTGCATGTATTTATCATTAGTGTCTAAAGTCTTTGTGGCATAAGCCAAAATATGAACACAAGTATAAAGACATAGATGATAAATACTTACAATATATAGATGATTCATGACTTTCTACATATGCATAAATTTCATTTATAACTCAAATGAAAAAGATGGTGGAATTTGGAAGCTTCTATATCAGTATAAAAGACCCTCCTTCAGAAAAGACAAACCATAGAGATATTGTATGAAATATTTTTATTATTCAGAGACAGAAATTAAATGTCTCCCTTAATTAAGTTATATATTACTAAAGCTATAGTTTTTAGAGCAAAATTTAAAATATACAGTATTCATGCATCTTCTGCATCTATAGATACTGCTTCTAGTTTCATAGAAAGATAGTGTCACTTTTTGATTGGCGCTTTACTTATGACCCTCTGTTGAGTCAAAATGCCATTTTAAAAAGAAATCATTTCTTTTCAGAACAGGATCTTGCTTGCATAGATTTACCTGCTAGAGCCAGGTACAATGGAGCACAGCTGTAATCGCAGCTCTTTGGGAAGCTGAGGCAAGAGGTTTGCGAGTTTAAGTCTCATTTTAGCAACTTAATGAGATCCTGCCCCAAAACAAAAAATTAAAAAATGCTGGGGATGTAGCACAGGGTGAAGGCCCTGAATTCAATGTCCAATATAGTGTGTGTGTGGTGGGGGGGTCTGCTGTGGGGGAAAAAAGAAAACCTGTGTCCATTGGTACAGTCTGCAGGATTCTGGCAATTTCTCAAAATGCATTCTTGCAGGACTGTGGATCCTGATTCTCTTGTCCCAATCCAAGTAAGATACTCTCCTCGGACAATGTCCCAGTAGTAATTGTGTAGGGGCAGCTGTTTCAAGTGGTTTACTGGAAACATTTGTAAAACAAAACTTTCTTCATACCTCCTAACCTCTTATCGTCTTAACATTAAAACTACCCTTTGTAATCTCCTTGTTTTTCTCACATTGACTGGATCTGAAGGAAACATTTATTTATGCCATAGCAAACACAATTTAACTGGTATTTTGCCTGACATAACAGCTTTGTTTTTGTGCTTGTATAACCTCCTCCTCTGACAGCAGAACTTGGGGAGTGAAGCTTCTTAACAAACTGCCTATGCAATGCCAGCAGAAGACATAGGAACACTGTTATTACAGGAATGCAGCATTGGTTGAGAATTACTTCATTTTTCACTTACTGACTTCAAGAAAAATAATCCAGTGTTAAAGCTGAATATTACTTCAGAAATCAATAAATTGCACTGTAGTTGATTTTTCAGAATTGAGGACAGTTTTTTCACTAGGTAATGGTAGCTGTAGGGCACCATAAATTTTCTTCCAGTATCTTCATGTGATCCACAAAGACTAAGAAAGGTAATAATGCATGTCAGTCCAGGGGGAGGCTAGATAAATATAGTTTAAGATTAAATTATTTGCTAGCAAAACAAGAATTGTTAGATCACAGCTTGCAGTATCAACCATTTTTATAAATACATGTATGGAAGAAACGAAGTGAAAGTAATGAACTCTTCCCCTGGAAACAGCTGTGGTTTTCAAATTCTGTTAAAAAGGGTCTTGGTTTTAAGAGGGACTACAAAATAAAAACTCTTCACAAGTAAATCAAGACTATAAAAGCAGGGATTGCTCTTTTTCAGTGGCATAATATTTTTTAAGATACTTGTGGAATATTTATGGGAAACAATATTCTGTTTTGAAAGTCCATTGTTGGGCCATTATTCATCTTGTTTATAACTTCCTCGTGGCATTGTTCAGATTATTGTCCCAAGAACAAAAGACAAGATAAAATACCACTTTGAAAAGACAATATCTCCCTGAATCCCTCTTATGCCCTTAACAACATATATTATACTCTCTTTTCTATATTTTGAACAGAAAATGATTAAAAAGGAATCAGTGGTCTTTGTAGCCCCCAGTGAATTCCGGACAAAATGGTACTTGAAGCTACATAGAACCCTTTTGGTAAAGGTCCTCACTGTAAGCTGCACAGTCATCATAAAAGCAGGGGGAAGGAGAGAGGGAGGTTGCCCTTGGGACTTTCTAGAGTACAAGAGCAGAGCTGTGTGCTCATTTTGTTACTGTTTCTCCCATAACTATACTCCAAGTCTCTTATTATCTTTGTCATGTAGTTGGAGAGTGTCTATACCAGAGGCACTTATTAGGATTCTACCTGAAGAAAAATGAATGAGGAGATGAATTCTATTAATTTAGGAGTCTCCAAGTTGGCTCAGACCTGACTCTATCCCTGTACTCTCTTGAACTTCAGATTCCCCAAATATAGGGGCTAATCCTTTCCAGCTGCTTTCAAGATTGGAAAATCTAATTTACAGAGCCATAAATTTCCCATTAATGACAACCATCTATGAGTGTATATTACACGTTATGAAAAAGAAATAACCTGCCCCCATTTTGCCTTCCTTTTGCTTTGGATCATTTGTATCATGTATTGTTAACCAAGACTCCACAAGGAAATACAATTAGCATTATCAGCATTAATGCTGAGAGTTGAGAAGGAGCTAGATGTCTATGCAGAATTCAGGAAAAAAAGTAACTCTAATAGTGTGATCTAATTTAAAGATGGTAGCAATTGATCAATGTCCCTGAAATTTTAACTGTTAGTCAGTTTTGCAATACTGTAACAAAATACTTGAGACAAATAAACTTTAAAAAAGGAAAAGTTTGGGCCAGGGATTTAGCTCAGTGTCACCAAGCCTGCCTCACAAGCACAAGGTTGAGTTCAATCCCTGGTACAAAAACAAAACAAAAAAAGGAAAAGTTTGCTTTAGCTCACCATTTCAGAGCCTTCAGTGCATGATCAACTGAACCTATCACCTTGGGGCTTTGGTGGTGCCATGTGTCAGTGGCAGGAGCATGTCGTGAAGGAAGTTGCTTCTCTTATTGTAGCCAAAAATGAAACAGAGAGGAGGGAGCTGGAGTCTGAATATCTCCTTCAAGGGAAAACCCAAAGTAATCCACCTTCCTCCCCTAGGTTCCACCTCTTACAGGTTCCAACACTTTTCAAAAAGCCACAGGATGATGACCAACCCTTTATCATATGAGCCCTTTTGGGACACTTATCCAAACCACAGGACTTGTCCTCAAAGAATACAGATTAAAATAAGACATAGGAATAAATCCTATTTAAGGAAATGTGATTTTAAAAAATTAACACAAGAGGGCTGGGGATTTAACTCAGTGGTTCCACCACCTGCCTCGCAAGTGCAAGGTACTGAGTTAGATCCCCAGTACCAAAATACATATATATATGAGAGCAGGGAAAGGAAAAAGATCCATTTCCAGCTGGGGTGAACTGGGAAGTATTTCGAAGAGGCTTGTTTTTATCTGACTCATGCTATTTCCCATCAGTGCTGAAAAACTCATTACCTTGTGCACAGATAAATTGAGTGATGCTGAAATTAAGATAAACTGGTATGACAACACCAAGTCTTAGACTATCTGTACTTCTTCCAAACAGCAAAAAACATTTTGTTCCCTTGGTTGATCACTGTTTTTAAAAGTCAGTCTCCAACTCCACTTGAGATGTCCTGGTAAACAAGTGTCCCTTCTGGCACTGTGGGTTGGGTTACTGCCCTTTTAGACCTGAATGTTTTAATAATTTCTTGTCCCTTGCTAGAATTTATTTGGAAGAAAATATAAAAGATGAATGTTACTTGCCATCTGCATTGTTACTTAGGATTGTGTATAATGCCTAAGTGACAGTCAGATTTGTCTATGATGGTGTAAAGGACAGAAGAAAGTATTTACCCATTAGGCATCTGAATGAGGATAGGACCTGAATAATGAAGACCCCCGAAGATGGCGACTCAGACTTCATATCAAGTATCTGGTGAATCATAATTTTCTCCCCTAGAAAAAGGCTTATTAATCTGTTTTTGAGGAAACAAAACACCAGGAAAAGAAATAATCCAGTACTAGGATCTTTCAAGAGGAACAAAAACATGGTTTCTTTTGGACTGTATTCAGATCCTCATTTAACGCTCATGCCAATAAACTGGGAAGCAAAATGTTCTCATAAAAAAAATATATAATATGGTCTGAAAGATGCTGCAGAAAATGCCAGAGAGGCTGAGAAAATTATGAATCAAGGTCAGCTTATCAACATACTATTCGAATAGGACTTTTTCCCCCCTATTGAAAACTCATTCCTTTTCTTTCTGAAGTTTGCATTCTTTCTCTTTAAGAAAAATGAGAAACTTTTGGAGTTTTAGATGTCAGGAGTTAGTATTTATTGAGTGCTTATTTTATACTAAGCACTTTACACGCTTCATTACATTCTTCCATCTTCTGTGCAGTATCATCATCATTAGACAGGTGAGGACATAGAAGCTCAGAAAATGAGTGTCTTGATTTTGGGTATCCAGGAAGCAAATGTGAAAGGTAGCACTCAGAGTTTCTCTAACTCAAAGCCTGTACATGTTCCTGTGGGCCACCATGCCACAGACACTTTCAAGGTGACAGCTGTACCTAAATACCTGCCTGACCAGGAGTTAGTATCCATGTCAAAAATCTAATAGTGTTGCTTATTGTTAAGTGTCTGTGATAGGAGTAAGATATGGTTATGGAAGAACACAAGTTAAATCATCAAAGAAAATCACTTAGACCACCAAACATAGAAACAAAACCAGGGGAAAAACTTGCTAGTATGCAGCAATAAATTTGATACTTA